GATGATCAGCAGAACAACGATAGGACCACCATTTCGATCGGTAAGCTCAACATTATAAATTATATTTGCTCTACGTTTTTTTATTTATTATGTTTCTCAAAAAATATATATATATATTAGATTCTCAGGACGATGAAGCACTCGCTTTTAAATCTCAATTTGATGGTATGCTAATCTCCTATATTATTTAATGATATAACAGATAAGATTATATTTATCAAGAGGATTATTCAATGATTTAGAGATTTCAAATATTTCAAGAATGTTGGAAAATGCAAAGACAAATAACAATTCCTATAACAATCGGTATCATGGATCTCCTGGACGGGTGCATTCTGGATTTTCTTCGTCAAATTATCTGTCGTCACAGAGAAGAATTAATGGTATGATCTCATCTCGGTTTTTATATTAATTATATAAAAAAATAAAATAATCAAATAATAAAAATAAAGAGTACTCTAAATTTTATTCATTTTAATAGTCCGCTCGCATCATCGATCCTTTTCTCACCCATCATTGCCAACAACTCGCCAGAATCTACAAAACAAGCGTAATTTTGGTTCTTTTTATCTTGGTCATCATAGATTGGCCTCTTTACCTTCTCCTTATAATGGAGTTCCTTATTCTGCTTTTGATTTATTTGGTCACGACGAAGATTTACCCTTAAATTTTGATGACCCTTTGACTACTATTAACGATTCTTCTGGATTAAAAACTCTAGAAACCTGTGGAAGATTTGGTTTTAAAAGCGGTTCGTATGTTTTTATTTATATTCCTTTGTATTATATTCATTCGTTTAATTTTATTTATGTTTATTTTCTTTTAGATTCGGATTGGGATATCTCATCTCCAATATCTTCAACCCCTTGATTTCCTTCGTCCCCAAGTTCTATCGACCCGTTTACCTCTCTACCAATATCCCCAAATAACTTCATGCAGCATTCGTTATTAGATGATGATGAATTGGTAGAAAAGCAATTAATGTTGGAAGAAGAACGAATGATACTTCAAATGAAACGTCAAGAATTAGATAATGCTATCTATAAATTACATTATCAAAATTTTGATTCAAGTTTAAACCATTCCTTGTCTTCTTTGATAGAAACAAGATATAAACTTTCTCAAACTCCTCCTCAAACAACAAGAGGTTCCGCTTCCACTACTCCTTCTTTGTCAAGACAAACTAGTTTTTCAAAAAATTTATCTCCTCAACCACTAAGATTTCAACCAATTGGTACTCCTGTTAGGAAACCTGCCACTAATGATTATTCGGCTTCTTCTACTATGTCAAATTCGGCTCCTTCTCAGTCCACTTTTTCTTTATTTTCTAAATCTCCTGGTCTTTCGCTTAATCATTCCTTACCTACGGTTGATGAACAAAGATTATCTTCTAATATGGATGATATTCTCGATGATAAATTAAATGATTTCCCTTTAATCGGCTATCCATTAACTCCGTCGGGTACCCCTCCAAAAAATGATGATCGGTGTCAATTTCTTCCTTCTTCTGTTCATCCTTCTGCTAATCATCTTAACCCAGTAATTTGGTCAAGTAATAATGATGATAACTTTGCTTCTCATTCGAAATCTCTTCGTTCTCTGCCAAAGCGTGATTATTTTAGCGCTCCTACAACTCCAAATTGCTATACTCCAACTACACCTCAATTTAATCGAAATTATCAACAAGCCCTAAATCAATTGTCTATTGGTCATTTCAATAGAGCTAGTCCATTGTACTCTTCTCCACTTGATGAACGTGATGAATTATGGCATGGCGATGAAACTTTTAATCCAATCTTATCTTTGACCCCACCTGAAATTTCATCTACAAATAAAATTTCGCATTCGATTAATGATAATACGGATAATTTGCTCAGTAAAAATAATTCATGCCACCAATTTCATAACGTCATTCAACCTAAATTATTGTCTTCGACTCACAAAACTGGCAATGGTTTTTTTTCTCTAGTTGGCGCTGGTAATCAAGTTGCTTCTGATTCACATTATGATGGTTTCACTTATAATAAAGGGATGAGAGTAAATGGGCTTTATAAACTTGAAGTCATGTAAAAAATTTCTTTTATTGTTTTTTTTTTTTTAAAAAAAAAAAAATTAATTAATTTATTCATTTGATCATATTCACATAACTTATTTATTATCTCCAATCCCTTTTCCCTTAAGATTAATTTATCATCATAACTTGTTATT